GCGATCTCTTTTCTACTATGCTGCTACAAGTGGATATATTTTGGCCCAATTTGTCAGTGCTGTTCTGTTTTTTTCCCCTTCAGAAGCTCATGGAATTAGGAGTCCAAAGACTGATTTTGCCCGCTGTTCCTGGTGTCCTAAACACATGGATTGGTTCGTTTGGATTTTCAAAGATGACAGACTCTGAGAGATTGCAGTTTGTGGATTACACTTTCCTAGATTTTCAGGATACCGTCATATGCCAGAAACTATTAATGAAGTTGCCTTCTGCACAATCAAGCCCATTGAAAGGTCTGTTGAATATCGCCCGCTTACTCTGTTTGAGGACAAGTGAAAAAAGAATATTTGTATATCAATCATCACACATGTTCTTGTATTCTGTAATGCAGAAATCCAACCTGCACTTCTTGATGATATTTATGGAAGTGGTGAATGCGTTGATGCCAATGACTCTAGTCCTGTCCCTGAAATACTTGAAACAGATCAAAATGAGGACGGTGGAACCATGGAACAAGGACCAGTGGAGTATGTCCAGTCTCTTACTTCCTCTATTAAAAAATGGAAAAAGAAAGGAAATAATCTATAGGAAACAGCAAAACACAAGGGCTTAAAATGCTTTATTTTGGGGGAAAAGTAACTTTTTTAGTTACCGGATACGGGGCTAGGTTGGAAAAGTGCCGTCCAGGAAGTTGCCTTTATTTGAGAATCTGAGTAATTAATTTGTATAAAATTTGCTAAGAATTATCGGAGGGTGATAATTAAAATGGTCGGATAAAATTTGTTTTGTAGATTTCCAGTTACTTCATGTTCGCTTTTATGCTTGTAGAAAGGACAAGGCGCTGGCAAATGAATCCTTAGGGACTTCCTTCTACTTGGCAGTATCACGCTAGCTGCTCAAAAGATCAGTTTGAGATTTATGTAGGATGGCACGTGTTTCTTTTGCAAGCTGTCTAGTGTTCCTCTGCCCTGTAGACCTGATTAGAACAAGGTAGAGGGAGGATTAAGGAAAAAGAAAATAACTCAAGGTGAAGTACTGGTAATGCTGGGCGGATGTTTCTGTGTTTCTATCTCGTGTTCCAATGGCCTTCTTCACTATATATGACATGCACTTGATCTATTAAGCACCATTACCACCCATCAAGTTCAGGTGGAATGTCACTAAATCCTTGTTTCTAGCAGGGTTCTAGTTTAATGGGTCTGTCTGCTCGCACATATTTTATGTGTAGTTGCTTAATTATTAGCACCAACGTAGGGGGTTTATGTCGTGTCAAGCAGCAAGAAGGAATCTACCATGTAATTAACAGCCACAGAAAGCAATGAATCATTCATGAGGAGGAAAGAAAGGACCGCGGGGTGAGCATGCTGAGGGGAGATGGCTATTGCTTATTTCTAGAGGTTATAAATAAGATGGAATTCACATTTTGATCACCACATAAAGGCAACTCCTGTTTTGTCGGAGTAGAGTATGCAATACCCCATATTTAATTGGCTTAAAAAATTCACATGATTTTTTTTTTCATTTTGTGCTTAGAATTTCTATATCCGTTTTTGCTTGTTATTTTGACATGATTTTTTTTTTTTTCATTTTGTGCTTAGGATTTCTATATCCGTTTTTGCTTGTTATTTTGCTGAGTGCTGACTGTCGCTATTGTCAACAGTGTTGCTGCAAGCAATAGCAGTGATGTAATCAAAAGGCCTGTTCATCAAGTAGTTGTGGTAAGTTATGGTACTTGAAACGGGGAGCCATGTTATCTTCTATAATGTCTTAATTTGTGGAACGTAACCTTCACTTTTTATACAAGATTCCTTAGAATGTTTCTTGTCAGGTTAACCAGCCATGTCATCTTGAATATCAACCCTGCAGTGGCAAAATCAACGAGTCCTTGGTTGAGGATTCCGCTTTTAAGAAGGAAAGCATGGTCGGTGATAATGGTTCGAGCATTCTTAATCGCGGGAGATGGTTCGGTAATGAGGGCGACCTAAAGTGCTACCAAAGAAGAAATACAGTAGCCCGTCAGAACTGAGTTTCGTTTTACTTGAATGATCAGATCCCTATCCTGGTCTAGCGAGATAACTTCTATCTCACCGTGGCATAAGTGGAGCCTTCCATTTTGATTGGTTCGGCACTAAAATTTTTGCTCTGCGCTAAAAATTTCCATGTACAGAAATATTAAGGGGAAAGGAGGTTCTTTGGCATGCTTTTTATGTATAGCAGCTATACTTCTCATTGTTGGCATGCTTTTTATGTATAGCAGCTATAGATACAAAGATGAGCTCATTTTGGGTTCTCTATTTTGGACAGGAGCTCAGGGTAAGAATGTAACGACGAACGAGGCCAGATGCATTAAATAATCAGCTATTCAAGTGTAATGGAAATTGGAGTGTAAACTGTGTAGTTCCTGCCTAATTTTCCTTAGCACCTTCTGCTAGCTAGCCTCTTGGTAAAGTAGGGAAACAACCAAGAGCTCCCCATTGTTCCTATAAACACATGTTCATGTTATTGGTGTTGTCACGTTACCGTGTCTCCAAACGATTCAAAAATGCAGATCATACTGTCTATTTTTCTCTTGGTCTTTATCTTTTTGTTTCCAGCTTCCTTCCAATGGAGTCTCTCTCGCCAACCCACTTCGGCATGCGAGTACACTCCGACTTCCATCTACTTCCGTTGGTCCAATAGACATTGCTTATGATTCTGCTGGTGTTGGTCCATATACTGGTTTCCGGTGGTAGAGTCCTCAGGTATGTCAAGTTGTCAACCGTACTGTTGGCTTCATAGATTTTGCCATGGCTTCACCAAACAGGTCCTCCATCAATTGTCAGGAGAATATTTGCTAAAACGATGATAATCTTTTAACATACAAATAACCATGTCAGCTATGTGTGAAAATGTATATTTGGAAAACCAGTTAACTAACTAATGTTGCAACAGTTGCTGCCTATGGCGAAAAAACTATGTGATGGCGCAGGTGATCCTGCATTAGAATCCATCTGCTGTCGGTCGGCCAGTAAGATATGTTTTTCTTGCTTAAATTTACTAGAGCCAGTAACTCGATAAATAATTATAGAAAACAAGTAGAACTTGAATACTGGGAATGGACCAATTTTGATGTGTGGAGGAAAAAATTCTTAATTTGAAGATGATGTTAAGTTGATTATCCATTGAAAAAAAGAATCAGTTTTTAGTTTCAATGGCTATGAATGAAAATGGGTTATAAAAGAAAGAGAAAGAGAATGTGGAGAAATGGGTAAGTTTTTAGTTGATTATCCAGACTTGAAAGACTGGTGCCTTGGACTTTTGTGACAGGGAAGAGGAAAGGGTGTAGAAGTAGACGACGTTTGTGTCTAAGCAAATTTCAATTTAAGACAATAAATGCAGAGCAGACCAAAGTCTTTGAACAATACAAAGGCCGTCCCTTTCATTACTCACAGACAATTGCGCTTGGTATTTGTGGCAGCGGCAAGGTGCTGCCTCTCACGTGGTTTTTTTTTGTCCTTAAAGTTGGAAGCTTTGATTTCACTCTGCTCATGTTGTGCTTCCCTTCTCTTTTAATTTACTAGCTATCACTACTTTGGATTTTTGCTTTATCAAAACAAACTGACATTCTATAATGGAAATCCCATCAGGCATAGTCCATTGAGGTTGTAAATCAAAAGGACAAGAGAAGAAAAGTCCTTCATATATATAATTAATTGCACCTAAACAATACACACGCGCTATAAGGAATTTAAAACTTACGGTCCATTGAGGTTGTAAAACATGTATAAACTCACAAATGAATTGGAGGGAGGGAGGTCAGTTCCATTGTCTTTATACTGTCATATGTGTGTATTTATGTTGTGACAACTTGAGTTACTATTCAATACTTATTTTTGAGACTATGTATTCTGATTCAGGTATTCAAACAAAGCTTGCATAAAGTTGTTCGTATAAAAAAAATGATGCATGGTTTTGTTGATATTTGCATTAAAGTTATCAGCACAAAAATAGACTAAATATTCATTTTGATAAAGTAAAATAAATTTTTTTATTGACCATCTTAAAAAATAGACTAGCCATATTTTCATCAAATCACAATTAAAGAGTAAATGGGATGATAGGGGGGGGGGTATGAAAGAAATTA